GTGTGTGTGTGTGTGTGTGTGTGTGGTGTGAAGTGGTGGGCGGAGGAGCGGATGGTTGAAACCGCGGAGCGGGAGCCGCCTCACCCACTTTCTCCCCTTTGTTCTCAGCGCGCGGGCCCCGAGCTCGACTTGACCGCACCAAGCGTGGCTCAGCGGGCCTTCCAAATGAAACGATCCAAGCGGCATTGCGACGCCACAATGAACACCAGCACGCCCATACAAACGCTGCGCACTCGGCTGGTAAAGCTGCCATCTCACCTCCCCGAACCGATGCGGCCACAGTACGACGTGCATGAATAGCGCGCTGCTCCAAAAAAACCAACCAAAAACCAAATCCACACCCGCCTCGGCTGTAGCCTGGCATTGTTTGACATCATCCAAGCTGCCACCCCCCTCATCACGCGGTCAGAAGGCACGGTATAAACGGTCGGAGCGGATTTCATGACTGCTGCATCTTGCAAGTTGCGCGCGCTTGGATCTCTCATTCATTCCTCCAACGCTTCGAACAAAGCTGGGCTGCAGGCCAAGCGCGAGGCGCAGTGGGTTGATGAAATGCGCTCCTTGTGGCGGCGGCGCCTGCACCACCACCGGTGACCAAACCTCTTGTTTTTCGGCTTCGATTCTCGTCTCGAACCCGCCCACTTCATCTCGCCTTGAACCCACGCAGCCGCGACGGGCACCGGCATTGCAACGGCTCTAATGCTGCTGGTGCACGCACCCTCTGCCCTTATTCTTGGCTTCGGCACCTCGCTGCACGTGCAACATGAAACAAAGGGCGGGCGCAGCCGACGCAATCCTGCCATTCCTGCCAATGCTGCCAAAAATCCCATTGGAATATTCGCTTTTCCCGCCTACCAGCCTTGCGGATTCAGGCACAAAGGGGATCGTAGAAAAAGCTTTCTTTTTCGAAATTCACGCAGGCTTCCCACGCTCACACGCTCACTATCAAAGGGAGACCACCAGCTACACAAAGCAAAGCCATGAAAGGATGCACATTTGCAACGAACAATGAGCGGAATAAGGCAAAAAGGATGGCCAGATGAAAAAAGCGAGGTACGTAGCGCATCCGGAATCACGCTGTGAGCTTGCGTTCTAGGCGGAACACCGAAACCGCCGGCGTGTTCGGGTAGGTTGGTGGCGTTTCGCGCTCGCCTTCCGCACTCGGCACCTTTTCCGCGTCGCGATGCATGGTGTCGATGAGTCGATCTTCATCCTTGCCTTCTGCCATGATGACTGCGGTCGCTACAGCATGGATGTGCGCCGCGGCGATGGCGACAAACACGACTGCGAGCACGACCACCATGATCTGTGCGAGGATTTTGATCGATGAGCTGTCGAGTGCGTCAGCGATGGCGTTGGTGGCGGTAGCGAATCCGGTGATCGGGAACACCGCCGCCCACCAAGCTAGAATGAACTGCATGTTCCTCCTCTCTGTGAGCAGAGCTGCGGCGATGGCGGCAAGCGTGACTAGGTAGAACCACGCCGCGACGGCCCAGAGCAGGATGCTTGCAGCGAGCGCACTGATGAAGAGCGTCTCGTACGTCGATGCTGGCAGGCTTGGCAGTGGAAGGGCGGGTAGGATGCGCTGCATCTCCTGTGCTAGCCCCAGCAGGCAGATGATTGTGAAGGCTGGTGGACCACAGCACATGAACAGCCCCGGTCGTGCACGTGCCGGTGGAAAGCCTTCAGTCATGAGGCGCAACAACAACACCGCATACATCATGCACGATACTGTATACCCCAGCCCCTGACACGTTAGCCCACCTGCAAAGCACCAACCACTTTGTCGCATCAGTTTTCTGCTTTATCCGCGACCTGAGAGGGGCATTGGAACTTACAAATGGCAATATTGAGTGCACTCTGTTCGGTCTGCGTCGGCACCACCGCTACCGCTACGCTTCCACACAGCATGAGCGGAAACACTGGGAGCACCCAAGCCGGGTTCATATGATGCATACTCCCCTCCGCCCTCGCCCATACGCTGGTGTAGCAAACCACACTCACCACGAGGGCGGCAGCAAAGTACACCCAAAACGCCACCTGGAACGCCGTCCTCACTCCACTCCCAACCTCCCTTCCCGCGACCGCCGCCAGGCCATTTAGGATCGTTGCGGCGGCAAGCACGATGGTGGGCACAAATAGACACTCGATGGGATGTGAGAGCGTATACCCGACTCGCGCAGGCGTGAACGTAAACCGCACGACCTGCAGCAGGAGCAGCGCGACAAAGTAGAGCATGTTGAGGATGAGCAGGGCGATGCCGATGCGGTGGAGCGGGTCGCGGTCGATGATGCGCGAGAGGAGCAGGTTCGAGATGCCGCCTAGCGACATGCACGACGTGAACCACGCACACGTCATGTGCTCCACTCTTGCCAACGCCCGTGTTGTCGTCATTGTCGTCAAAAACCCAAAGAAAAGCGTGGATGATGAGGGGATACCAACTCGCAACAAAGGGAGAGTGGGATGGGCTGGAATATATATCTCTGTTGCTGCTTTGATAAAGTGGTACCGTGGTACCACCAATCTGGTTCGCACGCCTTGGCCAGCAGCAGAATCCATCCGACGCACTCACACCGCCACCAATTTAGATCCATCGCAGTAGTGGGACCTTCATTGCTTGGCGCTGCCGGAACTCACATGAAATGCGCATCGTCATGGCGCCACCCGGAAAGCCATCCGAAGGGGCAGTGTTACTAACGACCAGTGTCTTGCTGATAACGACCCTGCAAGCGCCTCGAGCACGTTTGGCGCTACTCGTCGCTCGTGCATTGCGTCGAAACGAGCAAAGCAAGGGGGAAAGAGGACAGCGTCGGTGAAATAGCTTCTCGGTACTGCAACCCGACGTAGCGCCGAGCCAAGACTGCACTAAAACAGGCCCCCAAGCTTCGGTGTCTTAGCGGCTGTCTGATAGTGCCCCCTTTAGTCCCCTTGGCGGTGGACCCTGCCAAGACCAAGTGCTGATACGGAGAATTTTTCGACCATGCCCAGACCACGCTAAAAATCTCCGAACCACTTCCGTCTTGAGGTTCGATGGACCTAACATCCGGTAAGAAATTCCTGCCCCCCTTTGGCCAAAATCGATAAACCCAAATCTTGCGCGCTGGCCGACAGAGCGACGTGTTGGACTCGCGTATCGTATGATGTTCCGCCGCCACTGCCCCTCTTCACTCGGCGCTGGATCGTCGTTCTGTGGCATTTTGTGCATGCAAAGCAACTGGGGCGGGCTTCTAGTTGAGCTCTTCGGTGGCTTTAGTGATGACACCCGTTGCAAAAGCACCGCGTGAGGAGAATCGAGAATCTTGCGCTTTGACACTCTTTCGAGCTGCCGAGCTTGGTTCGTCGAGCAAAAGCGGTGTTGCGACTTTTGGGGGGGGGGCCTGGGCACGCGCTGGGAAGAGGGATCTCCAACAGATCCGACGTGCTGTGTGGGTGGCGGCGGGAGAAAGGCTGACAATCGGGATCCACGCGATACGCCCGCGGGTGCACGCCAGCCAACAATTGTGACTGCAGATCGGGCATGCATTTGCGTTGAGTCGAGTCACTTTGGAGTGCGAGGGCGAGGTCGGATCGGGGCGAGACGCGGAAAGATGCGTTGCATGCAACTTTCTCCGAGCTTGCATCCGCGCGCGCCCAGGCGAGAAGAGACGCGTTGGGGCGAACGGCGGCTGGGCGGGAAAAAAAAAGGCACACTTCTCGAGAGGCTCTCGGCTGGGTCCGTCCTGTCTGGCGGGTTTGGGTTTCCCCAGCCTGTGTTGGGGGAAAGGGAAATGCGCGAGTGCACGGTCGTGCCTTGTCAGTCCACCCGCCCCTTCACCCCGCTGATCCACTCCTTCTTCCAACTATCTTCCCGAACCCAGCTCGGCTTCGTCTTGCACTCCCACCATCTCTCTCCGCCCGACTCAACTCCCTTCAACAGGTCCTCTCCCACCCCGTACATCGAGCAAAATGGCGCCGCAACAAAAGGGCTTTTCGTGGTCCAACATCGCCGTTGGTTCCATCATGAACATCGCCGAGGTACGTTGCCTTCTCCCTTGCTTCACCTTTTTTTTGCTCTTGCAACTGACATCCTTTCCGCTTTGTATCGACAGGTCACGACGCTGGGTCAGCCGCTGGAGGTGGTCAAGACGCAGATGGCCTCGAACCGACAGCAGACCATGATGCAGGCTCTGCGCACCGTCTCATCTCGCGGCGGCATTCTGGGCTTCTACCAAGGTCTCATCCCGTGGGCATGGATCGAGGCCTCCACCAAGGGTGCTGTTCTCCTCTTCACCGCAGCCGAAGTCGAAAAGGTTGCCAAGAACGCCGGCTTTTCTGCGGGCTCGGCTGGTCTGTTGGGCGGTATGACGGGAGGCATTGCACAGGCGTACGCAACCATGGGCTTCTGCACCTGCATGAAGACCGCCGAGATCACCCGCCACAAGCAGGCCGAAGCGGGCATCAAGCCTCCCTCTACCTGGGCCGTCTTCGCCGACATCTACCGCCGCGAAGGCCTCAAGGGCATCAACAAGGGTGTCAACGCCGTGGCCGTCCGCCAATGCACCAACTGGGGTTCGCGCATGGGCTTTGCGCGTCTCGCCGAATCGCCCATCCGCAGCCTCTCGGGCAAGTCGGAGAAGGACAAGCTCAACGCAGCCGAGCGCATCGCATGCTCGTCCATCGGCGGTGCACTCGCCACGTGGAACCAGCCCATCGAGGTGATTCGCGTCGAGATGCAGTCCATGGCCAAAGCAGCCCCCGGCAGCAACAGGCCCGAAAAGTTGACCATCGGCAACACCTTTGCCTACATCTACAAGGAGAACGGCATCAAGGGCCTCTACCGCGGCGTCACACCACGCGTCTTCCTCGGCGTATGGCAGACCATCTGCATGGTCTCGTTCGCCGACTACGTGCGCGAGTTCATCGGCTCCAAGTAGAATCCCCCCCACCACCATCTCCCACCTTTGTATATACCTTGCCCCCGCACACACACGCAAGATTCGTTTCTCCCAATCCAATTGCTGGGGGGTCTACCATGCTGCGGAGGATGGGAGGGATGCACCTTCGGCGCGCACGATGGACTTGGCAACGAGCGTGGCCGAGACCACGCATCCCTCGAGCAGCGGGATGCCGGAAGCCCAGGAGCCGGCGACCCACACCTGGGCATGGTCGGTCGCCGCACGCACAGGCTGGAGCGGTCCGAGCTGCAGCTGTGTCCCTCCCGCCGTCTGCACCGCATCTGCATTGGCGCTGTGGCGATTGGAGCGGGTGAAGAGTGTCTGCCTCGCCACGTGCGCACGTACATCGAGCACCGCACGTTCGAACGCGGCTCTTGACAGCACGCTCTCTTGGCTCGGTTCGAGGCTGGGGTGCGGATTGGTGGTCTGCATGACCACGGGCGCATAGCTGGGTACACGCAGCACATGCGTCGCCATCGTATGCCCCTCCTGTCCCGCCTCGGTATCGCTGCTGTCCGAACTCGAATCGGTCCAGTCCGAACCCGCACTGCCACGCCGACGCAAACCCGTCTCGCACGACGCGGCGGGTGAGACGAGATTAAGATCTCGCCAGTCGCGCCTATTCACGGGCAGCAACGTGCGGTCCGTGTGATTGACCACCACACTGCGCTCGTAGCGCACCGTCCTGAGCGCCTCCACCACCGACCCCAACCGCCCTCTTTCCGCCTCGTCGTCCAGCGAAGCTGCATACGCCTCGAGGAATCGTGCCGTCTGGTTCGCCTGCGTCGCAAAGATGATGTGGTCATACGGTCCGTGTTCCCTGGCGTCATCGATGCACGTTGCGTCCGTCCCTGTCGACGCGCTGCTGCTCGACGGCTCGCGCGACATCTCGGTGCCCTCGGCATGGTGCATGACACTCAGCCACGCCCGACCGTTGCGGTGGTGCACTCGACACACCTGTGCGCGCGTCCAAACCCTGCTTTCCTCCTCGCCCCCGGGCGCAACGTGAACCAGCAGCGCTCGGACGACAGTGCGCACGCCATCCTGCACGACAAAGTGGTCCCTGCCAAGCGTAAGCGCGACATAGTCGAGCACCTCCGTCGCGGGGGACGCCCACACCGCGTCGAGCGAGCACGTCATGACGGCGCTGAAGAGCGGCGCGAGCGTCTGCTCTACAAACCGCTCGTCCAGCCTCGCCACACGTCGCAGCACCGCCTCGGCCAGCCGCTCTGCACCGTACCGCAGCTTTGACGATGAAGTTCGTGGGGATCGCCGGGGAAAGGGATCGCGCACGAGGTCGCGCAGCGTATGCGTGCGCAGCGGATGGTTTGCATCGGCGGTATGTCCGAGCATACTGTGCCACAGCGCGATGATCAGCAGCTGCACATAGCCCAGCACCATCACCACGAGCGAGCCAAAGTAGACGCGCAACCTACGCACGCACTGCAGCACCGCCGACACCCTAACGATTCCTTCGCTCTCCATCCGCATCAAGCTCGCCGGGAGGCTGATGCCGCGCACACCGTTGGCGCCGTTGTACAGCAGACTCGGCTCGGGCGCCTTGCGCTCCCCCTTGAAGCTTGCATCTGTGAACCTGGCGAAGCTGTAGGTGAAGTTGGTCTTGCGCGCGCGGATGCCGAGATGGCGGTACAGCGCGAGGAGCTGCGGATAGTATCCGCCGGTGAAGGCGCGCATGGGCACGTCGATGCGCATCGAAGTCGCCACGTCCTTTGCCCTGTTGGACTTTGCGTCCAGCCTGGCGCGTTTCACCAAGCGGGGCGGTGCAGCTTCGGGCTGTGGTGGGGATGGTGGAGGTAATGGCACTGTGATGCTCGCACTGTCCATGCCGAGCGTGGGAGCGCGCTCAAAGATGTCGACGCTGATGCGCGGGGCATCGGGCGCGTGCGGTTGCGACGCCGTGAGCAGATAGGTGGCCACGAGCCCCGTGAGGCCTGATCCAACAATGGCCACACGTACATGCCTGCGCGGCGCTTCCGAGGGCAACGACATGCTTCCGTGGGCTTGCGTCCGAAGTGTTCCGAAGAGAGGTGGCGGCCAGATGTGTGCGGGGGAAGCTCGAGCTTAATGGGCCGGTCATGCGGAACGCGTCATCTGGGCCGTGCGCGTCTACACCTTTTGCAAAAGTGGTGTGGTGATCGTATGGGCAGCGGGCGTCGGAGGGTGTGCGCAGGTGATGACGACGCTGCAGAGGGAGCCAAGGCGAAGAGCGGCTACCCGTTGGTGGTGACCAGCCAACATGGCGGTTGCGTCGGATCGGCTCCTGCCATCACTGCGGTTGCTCCTTTCTGCGGCTGCCCCAGACAAGAGTCGCCTCGCGCCCCCTCCGCGCAAGTCCCTCCTCGGCCCGACCGAGAGGAAAATCTAAACTCACGAAAACATCACCACGAGCTGCGCCTCTCTCTCTCTCGTCGTGCGAACCCTGACGATCCCGTGCACGCCGTCTCAGGGCTCGAGCCCCGCCCTCTCCAGACCCTGAGATTTCTGATTTCAAAAAATGTTGGCTTTTTAGGCTGTGCGTGTCGCGGGTCGCCCGATTCCTGGCACATCGGACGATCCGACCAAGCCGCCAGCCCCATCATCAACGCAGCATCGGCCCGTTGCCGACAGCCCTTTCACACGAACAAACTGAGGCGTGGGAAGCTCATGCGGTCGCTCCGGCTGAGCGTGAGACTTGATCGATACGGCGTTCGAGTGAATCGCCGAGTACCGCACGGCATGAAGCGCTGATGAAACCGCGGTGACCTTCGACTTCGACTCGACATGAAATTCTCGGAGAAAAAAAAAGGGGAAGGCGAGCGGGCGAGAGTGGAGATTTTTCTGCTCGACCGGCTTGGCTGCGCAGCTTGGCGCGGGTGTCGGGTGACAGGTGCGTGGCAGCAGTCACAGATCAGCAAAAGTGCAATCGGCTCAGCCGAGCAAGGCTCTGCGCACCGTCGCTCATTGCTCCCACCTCTGCTCTTACCGTCTCGCCATCGTCGGTAGACCTCCCAATCCATCGCAGATCGCAGCGCAGAGCCACCTCGCAACGCTTCCGATCGAGCCGATCCGATCCTACACGCACACCATGGCCGACTCCTCGTCGACATGGAGGAGCGGCTCTTCCAACGCGAATCCCAGCAGCACTACCACCACAGCTAGCGCATCGAGCAACTGGGGCAGAGGCTCCTCCGCCACGTCCTCTGCAGGCACTACGGCTCCCGCTTCTCAAGCTGCCGCCAAAAAGAAGCCCGGCGCTACCCGCTCCAGAGGAGGGGGAGGAGGAGGAGGCGCTTCCAAGTCGGCGGCCAAAGACGCTCCAGCTGCTCTCGCTGCTCCTTCCACCTCGTCGTCAACGTCTGGCTCCAACTTCAAATCAGGTGCTCCCGCCAAGACCACCAAATTCCTGCCCACCCAACCGCTCCCGTACCATTCGCTCCAAAACATCAAAGACTACTACCACGGCCTCCTCGACAGCGGCCTCGTAAAGAAGGCATGGCTCGACAATCCCAAAAATCCCATGCAGAACTACGTCCTCCACCGCACAGGCACCTACCCCGTCTACAACGTCGAAGAGGGCCAGGTGGAGGGCAGGCGAGACACCAACTTCCGCTGCACCCTCAACTTTGATCCCGAGTACGAGTGGAGCGTCCACGGCGATGCAAAGACCGCCAAGGATGCAGAGCGCATAGCCGCTCTCCATGCCGTCCTCTTTCTTCAAAACGCAGGTGACATCCTCAACAAGACTCCCACCGCATCCGCTCCCGCGCCGCTCGTCGCCCAGAACCAGGGTCCTACGGGCAAGCTCTCCGACGGCTCCGAGCTCACAGTGCAGCGCGCCCGCGAGTTCATCGACTTCTACTGCAAGCGCTTCAACCTCGGCAAGCCAGACATCCGCCAGTCCGCCGGAAAGCAGGGCAAGCCAAAGCGAGGCGCCTCCAAGTCCTCCGCAACCGCAACCGCCAGCCAACCTCACGCCTCCATGTACATCGCCGGCAACGAGATCGGCGCCGCCACCGGCAAGAACAAGAAGCAGGCCGTCGCCAACTGCTACCTCGAATCCGTCGCCTACATCGAGTCCACCGACGCCTCGCTCTGGAAGACCTTCAACCTCCTCCACAAACCGGGCATGTCCATCAACAAGGCGCCCCACGTCACCTTTGCAATGAGCGACGAGCTCGACGACTCGGTACAGAACATCTACGACACCATGATCCGCAGCAAGATCTACGCAAAGCGGCCCCGCACCGCCGCCGTCGTCCCCGGCGAAGATCCCAACGCCGCCTCCACCGACGCCAACGACGAGCTCGCAAAGAAGCGTCAGATGCGTCAGCAGCGCGCCCGCCGCTTCAACCAGCAGTTTGGCGCCACCGAAGACTCGCTCCAGCGCAAGAGCGAACAGCTCGAGCTCGCCCTCGGCAACTACTACTCGGACGACGCCATGGCCAAGATGCGCGACCAGCGCCAAAGCCTGCCCGTCTCCCAAAAGCAGTCCGACGTGCTCGTCAAGGTCGAGCTCAACCAGGTCACCATCTGCATGGCCGCCACCGGCTCCGGCAAGACCACCCAGATCCCCCAGATCCTCTTTGACGACTACATCCTCCAAGGCAAAGGCGCAAAGTGCAACATCATCTGCACCCAGCCCAGACGTATCGCCGCCATCAGCGTCGCCGAGCGCGTCGCCAAGGAGCGCGGCGAGAGGCTCGGACAGACCGTCGGCTACCAGGTCCGCTTCGAGGCAAAGCCGCCCCAGCCCAACGGCTCCATCACCTTCTGCACCACCGGCGTCTTTCTCCGTCGCCTTCAGTCCGCCCTCGGCGACGCAGAGTCCTCCAACACCTTCCTCGACTCCATCACCCACGTCGTCATCGACGAGGTCCACGAACGCGACGTAGAGACCGATCTGCTGCTCGTCGTCATCAAGCGCCTGCTCGCAGAGCGTCGTCGTCTGGGCAGACGCGAGATCAAGGTGGTGCTCATGAGCGCAACCATCGACCCCACCCTCTTCCAGAGCTACTTTGCCAACGAGTCGGGCGTCCCCGCCCCCGTCGTCGAGATCCCCGGTCGCAGCTTCCCCGTCCAGAAGCACTATCTCGAGGAGACCGTGCGCAACCTCGAGTCGCTCCGCCTCACTCCGCAGATGGGCGGTTGGGTGTGGGGCGAAAAGAACGTCCGCGAATACCTCGAGCGCGAGATTCACCAGCGAGGCGGCTCTGTCTCGCGTAGCAACAACAGCAACCACAACAGCGGCTCGAGAGGGTACGGCCACGCGGCGATCCAGGCTCAGGGCGCCGCCGATGAGCCCGTCGACCCCATGGCAGACCAGGTGGACGACCTCGAGATCCCTTACCCGCTCGTTGCGCTCATCATCGCCTACGTGCTCTCCATCTCGGACGACGGCCACGTGCTTGTCTTCTTGCCAGGCTGGGACGAGATCAAGGCTGTCAATCTGCTGCTCACCGACACCCAGTACCACCCGCTCCTGCGCACCGACTTTAACGACCGCGATCAGTTTGAGATCCACATTCTACACTCCACCATCCCCGTGCAGGAGCAGCAGGCCGTCTTCGAGCCCGTGCGTCACAAGGGCATCCGCCGCATCATCCTCGCCACCAACATCGCCGAGACCTCCATCACGATCCCCGACGTCGTCTACGTCGTCGACACGGGCCGCGTCAAGGAGAAGCGCTTCGACCCGGAGCGCCACCTCTCGAGCCTCGTCTCGGCCTGGGTCGGCACCTCCAACCTCAACCAGCGTGCGGGTCGTGCCGGTCGCCATCGTGCGGGCGAGTACTTTGGCGTGCTCAGCAAGGCGCGCTACGACAAGCTCAAGGTCAACCAGACGGTCGAGATGAAGCGCACCGACCTCAGCAACGTCGTCATGCACATCAAGGCGCTCGACATCCCCGGCATGGAGGTGGAGGACGTGCTGGCATCGGCCATCGAGCCGCCCGCGCCCGAGCGCGTGCTCGCCGCCATGGAGAAGCTCAAGATGGTTGGCGCGCTCGACATGTACAAGAACCTCACCTCGCTCGGCCGCGTGCTGCTCCAGCTGCCCGTCGACGCGCCCATGGGCAAGATGTGCCTGTACGGCGCCTTCTTCCGCTGCCTCGACCCCGTGCTCTCGCTCGCCGCCATCCTCACCAGCCGCGATCCGTTCATGGCGCCCATCCATCTGCGCGAGGAGGCCGAGATGGTCAAGGACCGCTGGTGTCCGCCCGACTTCCGGTCGGACGCGCTCTGCATCCTGCGCGCCTTTACGCGCTGGTGGGATATGCAGTCGCGCGGCGACTATGCGGCTGCGAACCGCTTCTGCCAGGACAACTTCCTGAGCAAGATCACGCTGCTGCAGATCCAGCAGGTCAAGGAGCATCTCTTCCAGTCGATGGAGAAGGCCGACATCATCTCGGTCATCCAGGCGAGCCACGCCGGTGGCGGCGGCAACGGCAACGGCGTCTCGCACTATTCGCGCTTCCGCCGACCGCGCGAGACGGACGCCGAGTTCAACACGAATTCGGACTCGACCTCGGTGCTGGCGGCGCTGGTGGCGGTGTCGTCGCCGCCCAACTTTGCCATCCGGAGCGGCAAGGCGAGCTACCGGACGTCGCAGGACAAGTCGTGCCTCATGCATCCGTCGTCCATCTGCCACACCAAGTTCACCAAACACAAGCCGTGGGATGCGGCCAACATGGGCGAGAAGGAGATCTTTGCGTTTAGCGAAAAGATCCGCAACGCGAGCGGCAGCGCGGGCAACAATGCGTCGACCATGCTGCGCGGATGCACGCGGCTGGATCCGCTCACGTTTATGCTGTTCGGCGCCACCGAGGTGCGCGTGCTGGGCGAGGGCGTCGAGTGCGACTTTTGGCTGCCCATCACGGGCAACACGGACTCGCTCGACAACCTCGAGAAGCTGCGCTCCATCATGGACGTCATCATGCTGCGCGTCTTTGAGGGCATCGGCAAGCGCCGCAAGGACGCGTCTCCGCAGACGCAGCGCGGCGCGAGGCGTGTGGAGGATGTGGACGAGTACGAGGGCATCGACGACGAGGACGAGGACGAGGAGCTGGGCGACCGCACGGATCTGTCGCTCTCGCCTCAGGAGATCGGCGAATTCGAGTACATGAGCCAGGGCATCGTGCACATCCTCGACGGCTATGCGCAGGAGCGCGGCTGGGCGTCGAGCAGCCGTGGTTCGACGCGCCCGGCCAGCCCGGCCTCGTTTGGAATGGGCGGCCTGAGCCTGCAGGACGTGGGTGGCCGACCGAGCGCGGTTCCGAGCCAGGTGTACGGGGCGGGCAGTCGCGGCGGCTCGTCGGCCAATCTCGCGAGCGCACCCATGAGCGCACCCACGAGCAACGGAGGCAGTCGATGGACGAGCCGCTCGCAGACGCCGGATCTGCCACACCCGCCTGCGCCGTCGAGCCATGCGCCAAGCGTGGCGGCCAGCACGGCAACCACGGCCGCGAGCAAGAGCACGGCAGCAACCACAGCGGCGGGCGAAGTTGCGCTCGACACGCAGGAGCAAAGTGGCGGTGGCAGCGGCAGCGGCGACAAG